TTGGGTATGAGGTTGTCAAGAAATGCACACCTCTGTTCCAAAATGATAAGTATATGAAGTTTGATGCATAGTGATGCTCCTAAAGAGGATGTCAGAATGAGATGAGTTGTCTCATTGATTTGAAGTTCACTACTCCAGGTGGACTTTGGTTATTTAATAAAATTAATGTGGTATTTTTGTTTCTTTGCTTGTCACCACGATCGCCTTTGCCAGTGTAAAGTAGGAAATCTATGTTATAAAACTGTGTGAAAGGACCGTTCTGCGAGGATATCAGCCCGAAGTCCGGTCATTTCAGATATTTTCGCAATATGGTTCAGAGAATGCTAGGTTAATAGGAGTTTAACCACGTGACTAGAATCTGTCTTTTGACGCAGTAAATATATGCGTGTGTGACATAAAAATATCAAATTTTTATTCGAGACGTAAAACAAATTAACCCGAAGCCAAAAAAACCGGCCAAAATTTTCATTAATACCCTACTAATTAAAACTCTAGAGTATTCTCTACTCCAGACTACTCCTCAAGACATTCTAAATATGTCGCAAGGAATAAGGCGCGCCGTAATTGCAGCCTACTCGTCCTAAAAGTACAAAGGCCTTTCTTTTGGTGGCGTTTTTGATAATTTTTTGGCGTAATAAACTACAGTCCGGATTTTCTCGCGTTGCTATGCATCGTTATGTAAAGATTTATCTTTCCGCGCACCTCTTTTCTATTTTCTCCCCAGCTTCCCTCCAAACTTCCTTTCTAGCAAGTTCCATTCTTGAAATTACTAGGGATATAACACGATCACATCTTCCCGAGAAAAAGAGAACTACTAAATGGTCTTGAATTTTAATTTCAGGTCATTCAATGAGAAAATTTGCAAAAAAAAAGAGCAATGTACATGGAATTTTAGAAAAGAACCAAGTTTGTGAAGACCGAGCCACTTAGTTCTGAAAAACGTTAATGTGGTCGACAGTGAATTTCCAAGTTGGTTATCGTGCGCTTGTATTTCCTTTAGAGACGAGTTGTTAAACTTAATGACGCAGTTTTCTTCAAAATAAATACACATGACAAAGCCGAGTATCCAGAAGGCGAGACATACAAACATAACGAATTGAATTATTGTTTACACAGCCGGAAAATTAATAATGGTTGATTCACTCCGTGTGACGAGGCTGTTAAAGTTGCTATTATCCTAAAAACAAAAAAACGTGTGAAAAATTTTGGTGACCATTGATACAGCTTCCATGGAATCTTCTACAATTTGTGATTCACCTCTTCCACTGAATATGTGTTCTGTTCGTTTTCGTCACTTCCAGCATGTGCCTCGTTTCGTGGGAGAGAATGCGTTGAAAACGTCTTGTTTGAAGAGGATTTTCTCAATACTTTCAACTTTTGACAGAGGCAACATCGCCAGCACTTGAGAAAAAACTTCTTAAATTTTCTCTTAAATTCGTTGTGTCTCCACGCGTATAAAGGAGGATTCACTACAGAGTTACTGTACAATAAAATACGAATCCAAAAACGAGCTTCTTTGCTCTTAGTCGTCTCAGGAGTGGCAAAGTGGTAGAGGATCAGAATTATGCGAGGGTACACCAAAATTATGAACGCTCCAATCACAAAAGCGATCGTACCTGCAGCTTTGCGCTCTCCTTTCTGAACACGGGCATCCCTGTCTGTCTGTTGTTTATCGACGTAGTGACAGAGTTTGGGTTCAAGGGCCGCAACGAACGAAAGACGTACAACTTTACTCGCGAAACGACTGTTAGTGCGACGTTCTCTGATCGCCTTGCTAGCAATCTTGAAAATCTTATAGTAGGTTACCGCGATGATTAAGGTGACTAGAAGCACAAACCCAACGAAGAACGCGAGGAAGGGTTTGTCACTAACGCCTGGAAATTTAGGAAGAAACGTTACAATTAACGCCACTATCCAGATCAATGTAATCGCTAAAGAAACTTGTCCCTTTGCAAACTTCACCGATGAAAGATAAAATATCGGGTGCGACAAGGCGACGTATCGGTCGATACTCATTGCAGCCAGGCTAGATATTGATGCAATAATATTCACACGACCAATAAACCCAGCGATTTCGATCACCATCGTAGGCACTGTTGTTCCGCGATACATGGCCATATGTTGTGATGCTCGCATGGGTACGAGAACAGCGCTTACTAAGAGATCGGCAAAGGCGAGGGATGCCAGGAGGAAGTTCGAAACAACCTGAAGTGATTTGCTCTTACAGATCACAGCGATAGTGAGGGAGTTGCCGACAGTTCCGAACAAACATAACAAGATCTCCACACATGAAGCAAGGAGGACACTGTAGGAACCTACTGACGCAGTTTCAGCTTGTTCTTCACTTGACGTATTCGTAGAAATTGAAGCTGCCATAAAAGAAATATCATTCGAAGTGAATCTGCTAATTTTGATTGCAATTGTGTCGTATCACTCTCTTTAAAGTGAAATACGAAGTATATTTGCAGCGTCAAATGGCTCGCTTGCAAAATGTTCGTATCATCAGCTGTAGACTTATCTTTTGCTCAGGTGTTCAATCGCCTTGAATGTTTGGCTCTCGTCTGCCGTGGGATCGAACTGGAAGCTAATGAAGTGAAGTTGATTCTTGCTTCCGGAAACGAAGCTTGAAAAGAGACTCATTGAAAACTGAAACCGGGGTAAGGGTCAATCCCATGGTTCTGCTTTGATTAACATTTGAATCTCATTAGCAAATCGCTTCTCTGCAATTTTGAGAATATTGTTAATTGCTGATCTGCCTCTTGTAATTGGATAGAGACACTTTTAAGGAGAGCAACTTTTCAAAGGTGTGAAACTGGTGGGCAATTATGCTAATTTTTTGCTCTCTTTGCGTCTGAGAAAGAAAGCCAAAATTATAGGTGTCAGTGTCCAAAGTGTAGCGAAAATTATCGTCGAATGCGACGAATTAAGTCGAGAATCACTCCTGTCAAAAAATGATCAGTATTCTTATTCTTCCTTGAAAAAAGAGAAGACTGCTTGCTAAAAATTTGGCTTTCATTTTTTTAATTTCCGCGTATCCGTTAGAATATGTAGCAAAAGGATATTGAAATCGCAACAAAGCTAATACTTCATCACAAAAAAACCCTGATATGTCCTGGTATATCGAACAATGTTTTAAGTTCGATTCCATTACAATGGAGAATGAAACTAGCCACAAGGCGAAAATCTAGAGTCAGGTCTTACGTTACTTTGGAACCGTTAGCTTTTGGAAATTTGGTGGGATGTTAAAAGTTCCTTACCTGGTTTCAATTTGAATATCAATCAGGAGAATCGCTCCCCAACCTACAAAGGAGTCCCGCTACCATGACACCATAGTGTTCCCTCCATTATGTTCACACGATGTCGACTGTGAAAGTCGCACCTTCGTGTTATTCTTCGAACACCCAATGTCAATGTGGGTTATATCCTTCCCCTTTCCCTTGGCCATCTGGATATTAATCGCCAATTAAGGCAAAAAACGCCTGCGATCGAATCATGGAACCGAGAATTTTGGTTACCATGCTAACTTTTCTCGGTATTTTCTCCTGAAACAAAGTGATATATTCATAGGCGTTACTTTCCA